TGACTAGAGCAGGGCTATTGTCCCGCCATTCATGATCCCCTGTTGTTTCCTGGGAAGCAGAATCTGGCCAAGGGAGGGCGCTTAGGTTCTGGAGGGTGAACTTACACAGTGAAACTGGATCAGGGATGCATTACCACTTGAGAGACACTGGCTTGACTCGACTGTGGTAGAACCAAAGAGCAATCTCTGCTACATTAACTGTGGTGGGAGTAGAAAGATAACAACAAAAGGGCCTCTCCAATGAGGCTTTAGCAGTTGGACATTCCATTCCTTTACCCAGATGGCATCTCCTGGCCTGTATGGATGTGTGGGAGTTGTCAGGCTGACAGGGAGTCTGTCCTGGACCCAGTCATTGGTCTTTGAGAGAGTCAACTCAAGGGCCTGCATCAGCTGCCTCAAGGTGAGGTCACCTATTTCCTTAAGGTCCCCCTGCATGCCCTTGATTAAGTGAGATGGGTATTCATAAAGGAATTCAAATGGGGTGAGTCCTGTCTGTTTCATAGGCTAGACCTAATCCTTAGTTATGGTATGGGCAGTAATTGATCCCATTGCAGATGGGTCTCTTGACACAGTTTTCTTAACTGATTTTAGGATTCTATTCATGTGTCCCACGTTTCCTGAACTCTGGGGTGGTAGGCCTTATGCAACTTCCAGGTGATTCCTAAGCCCTTGGCCATTAGCTGTACAACCTTGGCCACAAGGCTGGTGCATTATCCATCCCAATTGACACAGGTATTCCAAACCAAGGGATGATTTCCTTTAACAGACATCTGGGCCTTTTCAGTTCATGTGGGGAAGGCTTCCATCCATCCTGAGAAGGTACAAACAAACACCAACAGATATTTGCATCTGCAAACTTGTGGCATTTCAGTGAAGGTCACAATTGAGTTTTCAAGAGGAGTTTCACCAACACTCTGTGCCTGAGGGGGCACCTCTCATCCCTTGTCTGTGGTTATTTTCAGCACATAGGGTATATCTCTTACATTCTGCCTTACTTATGCTGGAGAGCTTGGGGATATAAAAATGTTGAGTCAGGGTGGTCTTAAGGGCTGTTTGCTCTGCATGAGCTCCTTCATGGAATTGCTTGACAAATGTAGGGGCTAGCAACTCAGGTATGGCAAGCAGCCATCACCAAACTTCCACCATCCATTTGGTAGAAAATTTCCCTCCTCAGTCTTAAACCAAGTCTGTTCTTGTGGTGTGTACTGTGGGTCCCATTCAGCTAAGGGGCATGGGAACAAGGCAGCCATCAGGACATCAAGCAGCCCCTTGTGAGGGCTGCTTGTTCGGCCTCCCTGCAAGCTTTCTGGTTTCTCTGAGCAATTGTTGCATCTCCTTTCTGGTGCCCTCAGCAGTGCATAACTGCCACCTGTTTAGGAAACCACACAGCATCTCGCAGTTCAAGGATTTCCTGCCCATACTTGATAGTTTTTCCTCCTGAGTTAATGAGTCCCCTCTCTTTATATAAGGGCTCATGGGCATGAATGGTTGTGAAGACATATTTAGAGTCAGTATAAATATTCTACTCATACTCCTGCAGTGAGCTGCATGAGGGCAACAAATTCAGCCTTTTGTGCAGAAGTCCCTACTGGCAGTGAGTGAGCCTCAATAACTGCGTCCAAAGTCACCACTGCATAACCAGCACAGTGTGTGCTGTCCCAGACAAAGCTGCTGCCATCTGTGAAATATTCAACATCCGGATTGCCAATTGGTTAATCAGTTAGATCTGGCTGGCTCGAGAAAACCTCATCCATAACCTCTAAGCAGTCATGCTCTGGGAGGCCTGAGACAATCATCAATACAGTGGCCAGGTTTAGAGTCTTAACAACCTCCAGATGGGTGTGCAGGTTTTCACATAGCGTACTCTGGTATTTGACCATCTGAGAGTTAGTCAGCCAATAATTTCCCTCCATGAGTGTTAGAATACAGTGGGAAAGCCAGACAGTGAGTTCTTGCTCTAGGGTGAGCTTGTCTGCTCTGTCACCAGGGCAGCAGTGGCTGCCAGAGCATGCAGGCATGGTGGCCAGCCTCAGGAAATGGCATCAAGTTGTTTTGACAAGTAAGCCTTGGCAGTGCCAGGAACCGAGTAACTGAGTCAGGACCCCAATAGGTTCATCACATCTGGCAGGCCTGGAGCAAGGGCATTAGTGAGTGCCTTCTCCCCACTTTGTGGCTTCATAGAGGTGTTTGGCCAAGAGGGTGTAGTTAGGTATCCAGATTTGGCAGAAACCTGCAACACCCAAAAATTCCACAATTTGCTGGTGGGTCTTAGGGCTGGGATGGAACATACAGCCTGTTTCCTCTCAGGGCCAAGCCTGCATTGCCCCTGGGACAGGTGAAAGCCAAGGTGTTTGACAGTGTTTTGGCAAATCTGGGCCTTTTCCTAGAGATTTTGTATCCTGCCTCCCATAAAAGAGAAAGGAGAAAGTGTGTCCCTTCCACACAGTCCTCCTGAGTTGGTCCAGCCAGCAGGAGGTCATCTACGTACTGGAGGAGTATGCAGCCATGCTGGTCAGCTGAGAAGGTTTTTAGGTCAGATGCCAGGGCAGTTCCAAAAATAGTGGGTGAATTTTTGAAACCTTGTGGCAACTGAATCCAGGTTAGTTGCCCCTTTTTCCCACTGTTGGAATTTGCCCATTGGAAGGCAAAAACAGGCTGCAACTGTGGGGCCAGGATGTAGAAGAATGTATCTTTAAGATTTGGGCAGGTAAAAACTTTGCCTCAGCTGGGATAAGGTCATGTTCCTGCCCATCAGGCCCACCAGGCAACCAGGGAGATAAAGGAATTCATGCCCTACCTCATGACTCCCAAGACTGCATTGTCTAGCCATTAGGAAGGGGTGGTGGACCTATTCCCTGTATCCCCAATAATAGTTATATGCTTATTGGAAAGAGGACCCACTGGTTGGGTCAGAACTGAATGCTGAGCACCCATGTCCACCATGAGGTCAGTGGAATGGCCCCCTATTTTCATTCAGACCATAGTTTCCTGGGGGCCCAGTAGAATGGAGCCTGGTCTGTCCTATTCCTCCTCATAGCCTTCAAGACCTGCTAGACTGACAATGTTTTCCTCCCAGGGGCTTGATCCCCTGTGGCTGGGCTGGTATTTTCCTTTGATGACCTGGCCTCTGCCTCTAGTCTGGGGGGCATTTTGGGAGTCCCTGACCTGTTGGGGACATTCATTCTTCCAATGACCTTTCTGATGGCAGTAGGCACATTGGTTTCACCCTAGTTCCTCCCTAGGGTGGGGGTGTCCTGGGGGCATTTGTCATTATCCTCGGGGATTGCCTCTGCCTGGATTTGCTCACCAGGGCCCACCTGATTGCAAGAACTGCTGCAAGGAGGTCCACTTCCCTTTCATCTTCCTGTTGGCCTCCCATTTAGCCTCCTGATCTTGATTGATAAAAACCTTTGTGGCCACTCTCAGAAGCTAGCATTCATTCCTGTGGATCCCTCCAGTTTCTGCAATTTTTGCCTTATGTCTCCCTGGTCCTGGCCAACAAAGCAGCATTTATCATCCGTTGGTTTTCAGTGGCTTCCAGGTCAAAGGGGGTATACAAGCCGAAGGCCTCACACAAGCAATCATAGAACTGGCTGGGACTCTCATCTGGGCCTTGGACTTCTGAAGTTTTGCTCAAGTTCATGGCCTTTTTCCCTCCTTCCTTCATGCCTCCCCATAATGCCTTCTGATACCTTTCAAGTCGCTGGTAATCTCGGCTATTATTGGGGTCCCAATGGGGGTCTTCCTTGGGGAAATAGGCCTGAGCATATGCTTGGGCATTTAGGGTGCCCTCAGGGGCATGATCTCCTAACCACTTTAGAGCTGCCAGCATTATACAGCATCATTCTTCAGTATTGAATAGAGTCAGGAGAAGATGTCAACAGTCTGTCCAGGTGGGTTTGTAAGTCTGGATGATAGACTGCATCAAATCAAGGCTTTTCTGTGAAGGAGGGGGTATGTTGTTTCCAGTTGAGGAGGTCTATGTTGGTAAAGGGCTGGTAGACAAACACCTATCCTCCTCCTTGTATATGTCCTTCCTGGTTCATAATACATGGGGGCTCTGGGCTTCCCTC